ATCTATCTATCTATCTATCTATCTATCTATCTATCTATCTATCTATCTTTATCCCTATCTATCTCTATCTATCTATGATCGGAAAAATTGCCTGTTTGAGGATTAAAAAAAGAAGAAATTCAGATGAAAAAGGAACAGTTTTGTTTGTGTGTTCCTCATGCTCTCTCTCTCTCTCTCTCTCTCTCTCTCTCTCTCTCTCTCTCTCATTTCAACGTGCATTGTTTTGGCAATCTTTTCATCTGTTATAAAAGCCGCAAACTCCGATGTGTTGATGTATATCAAGGAAGATCAATGCTGAAATTCAGCAGCAGTCACCCAGGAGGTTTTGATATTTGCCTGCAAAAAAAAACAACAACCCAAAAAGCAAAACTCTGGGCTCATGAGGACTAGCAGCCTTATTTTCTGGTTTAGTAGGAAGGCCTGACCCTTCTAGGTTGGCTGATTCCTGCAATGCAGTGGCCGATATGCAGAATGCATTGGGAATAACCCAGGAGAGGCGATTCAGAGAAGCACCAAAATAGGGAAATAGGGGGGAAAATTAAATGTGTTGCATTTCAGGCGTTCCATTCATTCCTAAACATTTGCAGGGAAGCAGAAGTGGCTTAGCTGTTGTTGTTGTTGTTTCTCACATGCACAAACAAGGACGGACACACAAACTCCCTTTGGTGTGTGCACAGAAAAGTTCGGGTTTTTTTTTAACACTCTTTGGGGGTTGATGAATTCGCACTCCTGACCAGTCGATTAGAGAACTGTGAAGAAGCTGTGGGATTCTCCTCACTTTAAAACTGGGGTAGGGGAGGGCTGGTTATTGTGCCCCATTCTGCCCTCCCTCCCCTTCCCTCTCTTTTGGTCCCCCTCCCCCCCCCCCCCCCCCCACAAAACCCTACTCCCTTCTAGCACTGATGGTATTACCTAGTTGGGTCATGAAACGTCTGCGAGGAAACCAACCAGCTTAGAGAACCCCAAGGACCCCACAGCCACCGTCGTTGTCATCCTCCTTGTCTTCTTTCTCCTCCTCTTCCTCTTCGCCACAACTCCCACTCTCCTGGTGATGTTCCCTAGTTGGGCCATGAAACGTCTGCAAGGAAAGCACCAAGGAGCCTACAGTCCTCCTCTTCCTCCTTATCTTCCTCCTCCTCCTCCTCCTCCTCCTCCTCCTCCTCCTCCTCCCAGCAAACCCCACACTCTTCTAGCACTGATAATGTTACCTAGTTGGGTAATTAAATGTCTGCCAGAAAACCACCAAGCTCAAAGAGCACCAAGGAGGAGGAGGAAGAGGAGGAGGAGGAGGAGGAGGAGGAGGAGGAGGAGGATGATGATTTTCCTCTTCCTTCTCTTCTCCTTCTTCTCCTCCTCCACCTCTGCTCCTTCTGTTCCTTCTTCTCCTTTTCATCCTCCTCCTTCTCCTTCTCCTTTTTTCCTTCTCCTTTTTTCCTTCTCCTTCTCCTTCTCATCCTCCTCCTCCTTCTCCTTTTTTTCTTCTCCTTCTCCTTTTTTCCTCCTTTTCCTCTTCTCCTTCTCCTTTTTTTCTTCTCCTTCTCCTTTTTTCCTTCTCCTCCTCCTTTTTTCCTTCTCCTTTTTTCCTTCTCCTTCTCCTTTTTTCCTTCTCCTCCTCCTCCTCCTCCTCCTTCTCCTTCTTTCCCCCCCGTTGCATCAGGTGGACCATTGGCTAACCTCCCATGGCTCCTTGTGAGAAAACCTTCCATGACGTCGTCATCGCAACATCTTAGCCAACAGCCTGGCTGGGAGGGATGTGGGCGAGAGGCAACAATCCCAGGATTGATGCTTAGGGAAGGGCAGTTTCAAAGCTGGAATCTCCGTGGCCCCAACAGGCCCTGGTTTCATCTCTCCCTTCTTCTTCTTCTCCCTTGCAGGAGCTTTGGCCATGAAGAAGACGCACACGTGTGAGTACTGATGGCGACGGGGGCTTCTGGGTTTGGGTGGGTGGGTGGAGATGGTGGGAACCGGCGCTCGGCTCGATTCAGAGTTTGCAAAGTTTTCAAGACCAGGCAGACATTTATTTGGCCAGGATGATGGTAAAGACAGGATGGGGTTGGACTAGATGACCTCCAAGGGCCCCGCCGGCCCCAGGACCCTGTGATTCTATGACCCTATCTTTTTATTTATTTATTTTTTACATTTGCTTGCTGTCATCATCATTCAAGTATTCCAGCATTCTGCTGTTTTATTTACTTCTAAAACTTGTTGTCATCCATTCTATTATTCTATCATTTTATTTATTTTTTACATTTGCTCGCTATCATTATCACCTGATTATTCTATCAATCTGTCATTTTATTTCTTAAATTTGTTCATTGTCAATTCCATTATTCCATCGCTGTATTTATTCCTTAAATTTGTTTGCTATCGTTATTATTATTCCACCATTTCATTTGTTTTTAAAAAATTTGCTATGATTATCACTCCATTATTCTATCCTTCTGTCATTTTATTTGTTTCTTAAATTCATTATCATTATCATTCTGTTATTCTTTTTTTTTTAAATTTTAAAAATACTTTATTGAAGTTCAAAATATTAAAAAGTTTACAGAAATTCAAAATATTAAATTTACAAAAATTTCTATAATAGAAGACATGTCAATATCTTTCAGCATCATTTTTTGACAGTACAATAAATACAATACATACAATTAATACTTGACAGTTATTCATAGTATTGGTAATACTAATTCACAGTGCCTTAATAATATTGATATCTATTATCATTATCATTCTGTTATTCTATCATTTTGTCATTCTGTCATTTTATTTATTTTTTAAATCTATTATCATTATCATTCTGTTATTCTATCATTTTTTTCATTCTGTCATTTTATTTTATTTTTTAAATTTGTTATTATTCTATTCTATCATTTTACCATTCTGTCATTTTACGTATTTCTTAAATTTATTATCATTGTCATTCCAATATTCTCTCATTTTAGCATTCTCTCGTTTTATTTGTTTCTTAAATTTATTAACTTTGTCATTCCTTTTGTCATTCGGTTGTTTTATGTATAATGCCTTAAATTTGTTATCATTGTCACTCTGTTATTCCTCCATCCTGTCTTCACCGTTCTACCATTCTGCGATCAGAAAAAATAAGGTTGCTTTTGAGAAGCTGGGGTTTTTTTCCCCATCATTTCGATTAGCGGCAAAATGACATTTTCTGCAGCTGTTTTTGACGGGCGCAAACCAAGCTCCACACACAGAGAGACCCACAAACACACTTTTCTATATGTGCAGAAAGACATGTATGTATGTATGTATGTGCAGAAGTTTTTTGTTTTTTTTTAATTCTGCTTTTTGGGATTGGAAAAGGAAAAGGGAAACTCCCTAACCGTCAATTAAGAGAATGAGGTTTTATCAGATTATTATTATTATTAGATTAGATTTTGAGTTGGTAAAAGGAAAAACTCTTCCTGGTTGTATTTGAAAATTAGCACTTTCGACACTAGTGTTGTGGTCAGGAGCAAAACTGGGATTTTTGGAGAGCCCAAAGGGGTCTGGCTGGATCTAACCATGGTTAGTGTTTGATCTTGGTCTCCTGCAATCCAGAAATAGGTAGAAAGAGGCAGTTGAGGAGGGGGGGGGTCCCTGGGGGGGGGGAATTATTTTGAGCTGGGGCTGAGATGTCTAGGGAGTGGGACTGGGTGGGGGGTCATCCCCAATTGGCATTGAAAGGCCGTTTGGATGGCCAAAAGCTGTTTCGGGACAAGCAAACTTGTGCCAATTTCTTCCGGTGAAAAATTTTTGCCAATTTTTATGCCCACTAGTTTCTAACCCTGAAATTCAGGGATGTGTCTCTGTGATCAGTGGAGGGTGATGCCGAAATTGCTTTTCTGGAGGGATCTATTCTAGATCTGATCCGGAGGGATCAAAGGAGGCTTGGTTGCCGTTGCTAAACTCGGTTAGTCTCAAACCCTGATTCGGGACACGTCTTTGAGCTGTGCATGCATTATCGGAAATGCAGGCTGCCCGTTTCGTCAGAGAGGCCCTGTTTGGGCCAGACCTCCAACCAGCTTTCCGAAGGGGCGAATTAGCCACCTTTGCACCAAAGTGCTCCGAAGCTCGATCTCTGTTCCATCCTGGTTATTCTTTGGCTTGGCAAGTTGGAAACGGCATTGGGGGGTGGGGTGTCCCGTAACCCGGTTCCTTTGCAAGGGGGTGACGATGGCCAACTCTCGGTCAGCGAAAAGGCAAGAATTCCCAAAGCTGTCGCTGTCTTGCCTTTTCCCCTAAATTGGCCTCTGCGGGTAGACTGCTCCTGGTTTGGGAGGCTCAACGGAGCCGCCTTTGAAACCTATTTATCTTCCCGTCTCTTTGTCTTCCTCACCCTGAAACCAAGAAGTGAAGCTGAAGAAAACAATGGCTTTTATTTTTTATTTTAAATTTTTATTTTTGTCTGGTTTTTTTTTTTTTTTCAGAAATTTGGGGCCGCTGGGCGTGGGAGGTGGGCACACCTTGCCTGGCTTCCTCACTGCAGGGTGCCTGGCACAGTTTTCTTGTGTGGTGCAACCCCATCCTGTGTGCATCATGGGTTCTTGCATCCTTTGCTGGCGTGTTCAGTACATGTGGCCCCCACCAGCACCCAAAAGAGGGGAAGGGGCTGTCCTGGAAATGGATGTTTCTTCCTCCTGACGTCAATGCCTGCGGGGCTGCGGTGACCCCCCCCCAAAAAAAATACCGACAGTCGTGTTTTACCCATGTATAGTCATCTCTCTTAGAAAAGCGGATGAAGTTTTTAAATTGGGACTATCCCACACCGTTCCGTGCCCAGATAGAAACATCGTACAGAAATCCTTTTGGGCTTTTTAAAATCCTTTTTTTTTAAAATAAATAAATAAACAGGGAACGAACCAAATTACTGGAATCTGTCCCCATTTGTTCACTTGTCTTCATTACAAAGCATCCCCAGAGTTTCAGCGATTGGAGGATTTAAATTAAAATTAAATTTAAAAATGTTATGATTAAATTTCCACATCGCCCATCTCACCTAAGCGACACTAATTCGGATAAGCGAGGGTCATTTTTTTAAAAATAATAACAATAACAATAATAATAGTCCTGCTTTTAAAGTTTGAAAAGAAACATAATTTTTCATTGGATAAAACAAACGGAGGAAGTTTTAAGAATTATATAAATCATTTATAATTGGTTAAATAATTAAAAGGAACTGGGGTGGAAAGCCTTAGGTTTAACAAAGATTTTGAACAGATACCCCAGCAATCTTGATTTACTGTATAATTATTAAGGCACCTTTGGTTTTTTTTAAATATCTGTCTTGAAAGCTGCTGAAAAGCCAATTTATCTATGCACAATCTGGAATCACTGTGAGATCGGCAGTTTCTAAATTGGATAGACAGAAATAAATTAAAAGTGGCTCTTTGCAGAACACTAACATGAATTAAAAATAATAATAATAATGTACTGGCAGCTTTTTTCTTTTCTTTTCGGAGTTCAAACAGCAGTTTAATTGCTTAAATCAAGGTGTTTTCACCAGCTTTTGAATCTTCCAAGATCCTATCCAGAAGGGATCTCAAGGTTATATT